TAGTAATTCTTATAGTTATACTTAGTTTTATTTATTAGTTTTAGTATTATTTTATCCTGTTGTCTTTGTAAATTGTAAAAAATTTATATGGATAACAATTTGGTAGTGACTGTGAGATATCAAACTTCTTTTATTTTGATTAAGAGATATTTTATTAATATTTAGTTATTAGTTTTGTGAAATTTTGAATTTCTTTTGAATAATATTTAGATTTACAAAATAGTTTATTAGTTTTATATAAATAGTATTACACAATTGAATAGTTTAGTCAACACATTCTCCCTTGAATATAACAACAGAGTAAAAGAAATAGTTCAACAATATAATGGTTTACAAGAATCCCTCTGCTTTTTTATTTTGATTTCCTTTTATATTTTCTTTTATTATTATTTTATATATTTCTTTATTTAATTTGAATTCTATTCTGAAACTATGTGGAATTGTCAAGGATTATCAGGATAATCATTTAGTAGCTTTATTAATAATTTTATATTTCATATTCAATTTTGACAATTCGTAGATTAATGTTTATCATTAATATTATGTGAATAGAATTGTTTTTATTTTCTTTTTATTTTATTTCTGCTTTTATATTTTATTTATTTTATTAATTCTTTTATTATGCCAAGCCCAAATTTGGATAAAAGGGTTTTAAGCCCTAAGTATTATTAAATGTTTATATATTTTATTATATATTTTTACTTTTGTAATTTTATATAAATAAGGCATAAGAATAATAAAGAAAAGGGTAGATTTCATTCTGCTCAAATAATTATTTATTTATTTATTAAATACTCTGTTTGACCGAATTGTCTCAATTTACTTTCTTTTACTTGTAATTATAAATGAGTTAGGACAACTCGTTATACTTTGGCTTATTGCCAATTAAATACTATTGCCCAAAAGAATCACTACCACAGAACTTTATTAACCTGAGAGATGACATCTCATGTAAAACTAAACTACTAATACAAAATAAAGAACAAAAGAAATAAATAAATGAATACAAAAGATAATTGTGAAAATATTACACTTTACCCACATTACTTCTTGAAAATTATATACAAATTACAAAAAAACTAAAACTATCAGAAAACTACAATAATGTAAAAGAGGATATTAAAAAATAATTTTCATGGAACAGAGTAAGCATTTCAGATGATATTTCATTTTACGATATTTTAAGTACATTAAGAAATAAATATACAATTAATGGAAACTTGCTTAATTCCTACTTCTTTAGTCACATTGAATTACCAGAACTATACATATTTCCAAAATTAATTTTGAATTTTTGAGATATTTTGACTTTTTGAAATTTATATGGAATCTATTCTATATATAGAAGTAAAAAAAGTACTCAGTTATATATATATTCAATTAAAGAATAAATCTAGATGGTCAAAAAATTTCAGGTTTTAAGTAAAATAATTTTATCTTCTATGAAAAACTATTTCAACTTTTTTCTCAAAATTACAATTTCAGGATTCCAAAATAATTTTGTGTACAAATATAATCAAAACATCCTAAACAAGTAAATATATCTGACCTCCCAAACAATATAACTTTGTCTATTATACAAAAAGAAGATATAAAACTCTTAACAGAAATATTGAAAAAAAATACACCTTTATAATAATTAAACTATCAAAAGAATAGATTAATTTAGAAGCAGATAAAAGATTTTTCCTTCCTACAAACATTAACACAGCTAATAAAATAGTCAATATCAACTTACCAATTAATAGAACTCAAATAATACAAATAATTAAATAATTAAAAACACACTACAAATTTAACAAACTTTCAGAGGATTGAATTCTGAACATATATACTCTACAAGATGAACTTCCTCCAATAACAAAGTAATTATTGACTTAGCAAATAAAACTAAATAAATAGTAATACTTCCATAGTAAATAAAATAAAGATTATAAAAACTGTTAAAATACTTCACCAATATTATAACTTTCATCTCCCAAAAGAGTTTTTTCGTATTTAACAAAATAACAATAAATACATATTGGTTTTTTCAAAAAATCAATTTGTTTTATAAGCAAAATATAATACATAAATAAAAAAAATAAAAAATAGTCAAATTCTAGACTATAGTTACTTATTTATCAAAAATATAAAAAACAAAAGTCAAACTAAACAAATATACAGTCTAACTTCTCTATAGTTATACCCTCAGGATACTAAAAACTGTGACTATATAGAGGTGTGTCTATTATAAAAAGTTTTTCTATATAGTCACATCTATATTAAAATATATTTATGGTGACTATATAGAGAATTATTTATTATAAATAAAGTTACTATAGTATTATATTTTTTTTCCACACTTTTATCTTTTCCAATTTATATTATATTATCTGTTCTTAAAAAAACCTGTTATCACATTAACGACAAACAAAAAAAAGAAATATGTGAATTAGTTAAAAAAAATTTATCTTATAAAAAAAAATTATCTTATAAATAGTAAGAAATAGTAAATGAGTTTATAAAACAGTATCTAAACCTGAAAATAGATCATTCAACTATATTAAAATTTTAAAAATGTTGATAAGTATGAATTTCATAATGATATATATGCTAAAAAAACTTTTTAGCATTGTTCTGTAAAGTATTTAATATTGAAATGTACTATAAATATATGGATAAATCAAATTATAACTGAAAGAATGACTATATTAGATTCAAAAGTAAAAGAAAAAAGTTGTTAATTTGTACAAGCTTTTGTGATATCAGATAAATCAATTACATTTTCAAACAAATAGACTATACCTGCTACCCAAATTCAAAATCCAAATGCCGAAATCCCAAATGCCGAAATCCCAAATCCCAAATCCCAAATTATAATTAGTATTTTTTGCCGAAATCCCAAATCCCAAATTCCAAATACTAGTAATTTGGAATTTTGGCATCCCAAATCCCAAATGATTTGGGATTTGGGCAACACGTATAAAATAGGCTACTAAATTTAAGTAATACAATAGATTAAAAAAATTATAATGCATAGTGAAGCAACAAGTATACTATTAGAAAACTTATCTAAAGAATGAAAAAAATTACAAGAACTTCTCTCTAATTACAATTCAGAAGATGTATATAATATTGATGAAACAGGTTATTCTATCAATTACTTTTGAATCAAACACTTTCTATAAAATCGATGGCTAGAAAAAAAAAGATAAATTAAAAAAAAATTTATAATTTAAAAAAAATTAATTAATAATTAAATTTTTTAGGAAAAAGTAAGAGCAACTGTGTTACTTTATTCAAATTCAATTGGCTTTCACAAACTTTGTTCATTAGTCATTGGTACTTTTAAAAAGTCATGATATTTTAATAGGATAAATATTTTTCAATTACTAGTAATATATAAAAATAACAAAAAGGTATGGATATGAAGTGATATTTGGGAACAATGATTATGTTATATAAATAACAGTTTTTGTATCAAAGGTAGAAAGGTTTACTTCTTATTGATAATGCAGTTTCTCATATGATCCTGGAAATAAATAATGTTCAAAATAATGATGCAGATAAGTAATCATCTGAGAATAATTCTATTGATGAAATTGAAGAACTTTAAAAAGAACTACAAGAAAGATTACAAAGAAGATCATAAGGAAGACCACAAGGAAGACCATGAGGAAGTTCACTAGAAAGATCATGAGGAAGGTAACAAGAAAAACTGAAAGAAACTCCAAGCCTTTCAAATATTACTATATATTTTCCTTCACCAAATATGACTACTCATATTTAACCTATAGATGTTGACATTATTCATAGCTTTAAATTAAAATATAAAAATCTATATTGTCATTATTTAATTGATCAATTTGAAAAAAATCAGAATCAAGAGTAAGATTTTTTTCTTATTTATTGAATAATTTAGTTATCTAAAAAATAGTGATAAAAAAAAAATATATTCTATTACAATATTATAATTTATTTTTTTTTTTAATTTTATTTAACTTATTTTTTATTAAATATAGAAAACTTACCTTGAAAAAAGCAATTGATTTTATTGTTGAAGTTTGGAATAATATTAGTAATACACTATAAAAAATTATTGAAAAATTATTAAAATTATGTCTAAAATAGATGAACTCGAAATAGATGAATTTGAAATGGATGAATCTGAAATAAGTAAACATAAATTAGAAAATAAAATTAATAATACTTCCTTATTACTTAATAATTAACAATTAATACAAAATATCAAAGAATATGTTCACTTGATTAATTAACTAGCTAAAATTGAAGATATATTAATTGATGAAGGTATTGAAATGATAATTCATGAATTTCGTGATAGTGATGATGAAACAGATGAAGATGAAGAATTATCACTATCTTTTCCAATAACTATAACGGAAGCAATAGATGCACTAAAAAAAGTTATAAGCTATCAAGAAAGTCTTGAAGTCAAAAAAAAATTTAATAAAAGCAAATTATCAATATTATAAAAAAGATTTAGAAAATAGTGTAATTAAAGAGATAAATAAGAAACAATCTTTAATTTTATTTTTTTTTAATTGTGATAAAAGTATTGATCTATTATATTTATTTATTTTTATTATAATTTTTTTTAATTATAATTAATAATACATAATAATAATAATATATAATAATAATAATTTTATAATGAATTATTAGATAGTTTAATAATATAGTTTATTTTAATAATTACATTTCTAATTTTCTATTTTGTAATCACGATAATTATGTGCGAGAGATGATTATGTATATCATGTGTTTTAACTTATTTATATAATATATAACTTTATAGAAAACAATTTATATAGGTGGTCAATAAAAAAACTTGATAGTAACTATAACATGTTTGTGCCTATACAAAAGTCAAAATAATATAAAAATAAATGGTCAGAATAAAAATGTGACTATATTGATTTTGTGACTATATGTGGAGTAACTATAGAGAAGTTAGATAGTATTACTATATTATCAACTAACTATTAAAAAAATATAAAGAATCTAACAACAGAAGCTATAGACCAATTTATATATCACCATATAACTTTGAAAGAGGAAACAGACAAGACTTGATAAACAATTATTCTTTAAATTCTACAAACACAGATGAACAATATGAAAAAGAAAATTATAAAATAAATGATATACAAAGTGATCAAATCAATAACAGTAACCAGAGTGACACTGAACGCTCAATTGAATGGAATCAAGAAATAGAAAATATAATATTTGATAATACAAATTGTATGTCATTAGATATGAAAAATGATCCAATAAACATCTATAACTTCTCTAATACAAATTCAAACAATAAACAATTACAATATATGTAAAATTTACACTTTTCACTAAATATATTACTAAATCTTGATACATTAAATATATAAGAATTAAACAAATACACAACACAGTAATAAATAATAGATTTCACAAATTACTACAAGTTTAATATACTGAATTTAACAGAAATCAAATATTATACACATAGTCATTATCACATTTTCAAAAATAATTTAAACCCTAATGATAATAACAAAGAATTTTTTACTATTGAATGAAAGATTCTGAAATTCACTGTTATGAAATAGAAATAATGATCAACAAGAAACTCAATAAACATGTGACATTTATCTAAATATTTGAAAACTATATAATCAAAGTAGATATGAAATTTAAAAGGAATATCAAATTAAGGATTATTGTAATATACATTTCTCCAAGTAACTATTTAGAAAATACAAAGGTGCAAGTAAATTTAATGAAATGGATTAAAATACATATACAGAAATTTAACATAACTAATACAAATAGAATTATAATTATAGGAAACTTTAACAGTGTCACTAACCTATATAAAGATCAACTTTCTTTAATTAAAAAAAGATCAACCAAAATAGAAGAACCTCTAATTAAATACTTATTAGAAAAAAAATAAATAGATACATTTTACAAGATCCAAGATATTAACCAAGAAATAAATAATAACAATCCACTTCAAGATTCTCAGTATACTTGAATGAGAAACTATAGGTATCACCCAAATTCAAATTGCTAAATTCCAAATTTCAAATTCCAAATCTCGAATTCCAATTTCAAATCCCAAATTCAAATTATTTTTGACATCCCAAATTATTTTTGGCATTCTAAATTATTTTTGGCACCTCAAATTATTTTTGACATCCTAAATTATTTTTGGCATCCCAAATTATTTTTGGCATTTCAAATTATTTTTGGTATCCCAAATTATTTTTGATATCTCAAATTATTTTTAACATCCTAAATTATTTTTAATATTTCAAATTATCATTATTAATGTTTTAAATTAAAAGTATATATATTTATTATTATATTTATTATAATATTTATTATATTTATTATTATTATAATTACTACTACTACTATTATTATTATTATTATTATTATTATTATAATTATTATTATTATTATTATTATATTATTATTATTATATTATATTATTATTAAATTTATTATTAAATTTATTATTAAAAAAAATTAATAAATAATATATTATTAATTATTCTACAATTTCATTTGTATTATATACAGTATATACCTTTTTAATGTTCTATTTACAATTGATTCAATATTAAAATCTTGAATATTATCATCATTAATTTGTTTTGATAAAAAAGATATTTCAACTGTTACTTCAATTTCAAGAATTTGTCAAAGTTCAGTATCTGTAACATCAAAAAATAAATCAAAATTTTGAGAATCTTTATTTATATTTTTTTCAAATTAATTATTTTCTAATTTAATATCATTATCAGGATCTTCATTATCAGAATTTTTATCATCAAATGAAAATATTGTTTTTGTAATAATATTTTCAAATTCTTCATTATTTAATTCTTTATAAGTATATTTGATTTCATTTGTAATATAATTATAAAATAGAATAATTTAAACTAAAATTAAAAAAAGTTTATTAATTAAATAATTAAATATTATAAATAAATAAATATAAAATTAGTTAAACATACCGTGATCAATGTCTATTCATATACCATCCCAAAACTGAAAAATATTATTTACAGCTTACATTATATGGTATAATTAATACTATTGTAATTGCAAGTTTTTGAATATGGTTATTTTGCTATTTATACATTAACTATCAATTTTTAACTGTATAGATATTTAATACAAATTCAAAATCATAAGGTTTGGCTTTTAAAAAATAATTTGAAATTTGTGCAATTAATTTATTTGCTGATTTATATCTTTCTTCTAATAACTTTTATATTGCTAGAACCTTTTCATATATAACACAAAAGATATTCATTTGTAAATCAGTATCTAAATTATTAGATATATAAATAAATATTAGTTTAAATTTAAATTTAAAAAAAATTATAAATGTTTCTATATTTAGAATGTAAGAAATAAGCTAACAAATAATAATCAAAGTTAAATTCTTTCCATCGTTAATTAAAAACTCTTTGACATTCATCTGAAAATCTAGTTTTTATTTGTGATAATTTCTTAATTGTTACTGTTATAGTTACAAGATTAATAAAACAATCAGTTAAAGTTGTTGACTTATATTCAAAATTCATTATAGTTTTTTTAATAGATAACAATAATACTCTCAAATTTTTAACATCTCTGAAAAAATTTCTTTGTCTCAAAATTAATATTATTTCTAAATTTAATATTTGTAAATCATTTTCCATTATCTTTAAAAAAAAAAATAAGTATAAAGTTAAATTATATTAATTTAATTAAAATTTAAAATTTAAAATATATTATTACCTGCCTTAAAATATTTTCACATCTTAGAATTGAATCAACATAGTCAAAAGCAGTAGTCTATCTTGTTGGAATATATTTTTTCAATTCACTACCTATAACTAAGTTATCTATAATTTCTTGCTGAATATGTGTACCAGCTACATGTGATTAATTGAAAAATTTATAATTTTTTTACAATTTGCAATTATATTTGTAGTCCAATCAAGTTGTATAATATTTTTTGACAAAAGATAAATATGGTGTGTAATACATCTCATTGATAAGATATATAGATATTTTTCTGTCACCAACCTTTTTGCAAGTACAATATTAAATACATAATCTGAAACTATTGAACAAAATTTTTCTGCACCTATTTTATCAATAACTTTGATGATTTTAGTCTTTAGAAATTATCCTGTATAAGAATCTTTGAAAAAATTTTTCAAGGAATGTATATATTCTTTACTATTACTTGTTATAATAACAAAAATGTAAAGAGATTAACTAGCTATAGACATTTATTCATCTAAACCTAAAACAAATATAAAATTTTAGAATTTGTATTTTATATTAAATTATTATTATAAATTTAGAATTATTAATTAATCAATAAATTAAATAAAATTATATCTAAAGTTAAATTTGTCTCATTAGAAAGATTTTTTTTTCCATTTCAGTAATAACAGTAACAGTTTCACCATTAATCATATTATTAGATAAAGTTGTTTTTTTAGGAATTTAATAACCTGAACATAATGTCTTTATAAAATCAATAAAGAAATGATTTTTTACAATTCAAAAAAGAACTCCACAACAAATAAAAAATTTTGTAAGTATCCTTGAACTTCTTCTTTACTTATTATCAATAATTGTTAATTTCTTTATATGACTAGTAATTTTTGACTGTTTATTTGTTTTCAGTTTCTTAAAAGTATTACCATTGTCATTATCATTAAATAATCTATTATTTAATATCTCAAGATATGTAGCATGCACTTCAGATAGTAATGGTATTGAACAATATAGTACAATATGTATTACTATTTCTAAGGATTTTCTGTGAGACCATTTTAATAAATAATATTTATATTGTGTTCCAGAATGCAAATCTTTTTTTTCATCTGTTAAAATAGTTAATATATAAAAAAAGAATTACCAAATTTTATTTTTAAGATGACCTGAACATTTTTTGTTGAATACTTAAAGTATTTTAAAGTCTTCTTCATTATATTCATCTATGTTAAGGTTATAAAAGTAACAAGTAAAGAAAAAATCTATATAATTTATGATTTTTTTATTCAATATATTACACAAAAATTACATATATATATATATGTGCCTATCTTATTTCATTATTATATGTAGCATTTATATTTGTAATAAAATTAAAGTACATAATTATTTAATAATTAAAGAAATAAAACTCAAAATAAAATAAAGCTTATGACTATATAAGTTAACTTAGGTTACTTTAAATAAAGTTCAAAACTATATATGTTTCTAAAATTAATTTTGAATTTTTGAGATATTTTGACTTTTTGAGATTTATGTAGAATCTATTTTATATATAGAAGTAAAAAAAGTATTCAGTTATATATATATTCAATTAAAGAATAAATCTAGTAATTAAAAAATTTCAGGTTTTAAGTAAAATAATTTTGCCTTCTATGAAAAACTATTTTAACTTTTTTTTCAAAATTATAATTTTGAAACTTCAAAATAATTTTATATGCAAGTATACTCAAGACTATATATATTAAATTCAAATAAAGCTCAAGAATACAACTGTTAAATTGGAATTAAGGCTTAAGACTATATAGTATAATCTTAAATAAAGCTCAAGATTACACATGTTAAATTCAAATAAAACTCAAGAATATAACTGTTGAATTGGAATTAAGGCTTAAGACTATATAGTATAATCTTAAATAAAACTCAAGACTATAACTGTAGAATCAGAATTAAGGTTTAAGACTATATAGTATAGATTCTGATTTACCTTAAATAAAGTTTATAACTATATAAGTTAGCTTGAGGTTACTTTAAAATAAAACTTAAGATTAATATGTTAAATTCAAGTTACCTTCAAATAAAACTCTAAATTATGTGATATAAATTCTAATTTATTTTAAATAAAGCTCAAGACTATACTTGCACGTAAAATTATTTTGAAATTTCAAAATTACAATTTTGGAATTTCAAAATAATTTTGCATACAAGTATACTTAAGACTATGTAGTATAGATTCCAATTTACCTTAAATAAAGCTCATAACTATATAGATTAGTTTGGGATTACTTTAAAATAAAACTCAAGACTATACATGTTAAACTCAAGTTACTTTCAAATAAAACTCAAGACTATGTGATATAGATTCTGATTTATCTTAAATAAAGCTTAAGACTTATAGTATTGATTTTGATTTACTTTAAATAAAACTTATAACTATATAGGTTAATTTAGAATTACTTTAAAATAAAGCTCAAGACTACACATATTAAATTCAAAGTTATTTTAAATAAAGCTCAAAACTTAAAAATAGACTTGAATATATATGCACTCAAAAAATAGACTC